CCCCGCGGGCAGCGCGGGTTTGCCGTCCCGACAGCCCCCACGGGACAGTCCCTGCGGGGTCCCGGGGGTGCCCGCTCCCTGCCTCCGCTGCGGCGTGGGCACAGTCCCGCGCCATGGCCGGCACCTGCCCGGCCCCCCGCCTCCGCGGGACACCTCTCCTGTCTTCATGGGCTCTAAACCTATTTTTAAGGACCAAGTCATCACCCTGAAACAGCCGAATTCGCTTCCAGCACGTACATTTTCACGCTCGCTGATGCCAACCGGCGCGGCAGAAGGCACCGCGGCGAGCAGCCCCGCTCCGAGCCCTGCAGCCTCTCCGGGCGCTCCCCTCCGCTCCCGCAGGAACCTCGGAATTAAAGAGCTTTGCAAATAGCTGAGCCCATGCCTGACCTTTTTCAAATATCAAGCTGATTCCTTGCCCCGGTTTAAGGTCATTAATTCCCGTTAACCCAGCGCAGACTCACGTGAATAAAAGCTTGGCGCTCTGGAGTGCTGAGGACTACCGGGGACATTTAGGGATACCAAACCCGGGGGTTTATTTGCAAGAGTGTTTCAGATGTCTCTGCGTTCACGAGCCACTGCGCCTCAAGATGGTCCCGACAGCACCTGGACGTCACTCTGCTCGAAACAGAAGGGTAAGCCGGAGGGGCTGCCGGGAACTGTTGCGACTTTATTATGAAAAACAGAATAAAGCTGACTGATCCCGCTTGAAAGGAACTGCCATTTCTATACAGATACGGAGCAGAAATTCTGTGGAATGTCAGAAGTTGGAGAAACATGTATTTAATAAATAATATAAAATGCTTTTTTGTTAAAATAGAATTCTTGGCTTTATACCTACATAGCATAGCAACCTTTACATAAACAAAATAAAGCTGAGTCTGTGATGATTAGTTTAACACAAAATAAAAATACAATTTAACAATAGTATTAAAACAGCCAATGGTCAATCCACACAATATGTACACCATGGAATAGAAATCAACAGAAAACAAAAGTAGATTATCTTGAAATTCCTCAGACATTTGGATATACATATGTTCTCTGTATATTTTAGATATTTTCCTTTTTTTTTTTTACAATATTAAAATTAATACTATGCTTTTTCAAAATACGCTTTTCAGATTTTTTAATTTGTAGAATTGACTCATTCCTTATATTAATCAACACAACTAGAATTATTTACTTTCTACTGTACACTTCAAAATAGTCCTTCCTCCATATATATTTAGAGTGTGAGCATTTCAGAGTTAAATTAACTGTGTCATTGCCGTCTGCCATGTGGGGAACAGCGAAACCGGGGTGCGATCGCAAACGTCTGCACTACGGAGATACATACGGGATAGTAAAGAAGAATCTAGTCCTGAACCTGATCAGCCGCCAGGAAAAGAGCAACAGGTAGTTCACTGGTCAGGCGCTGATTTACTGTCATCGGGGACTGTAAACCCGGGAACTGGCGATGCGCGAGTCATCCCGCGTCGGGGACGGGATCCCACCCGCGGCGGCAAAGCTGCTGCGAAACCAACACCCCGCGCAGGTCTACCGGGCATCAACGGCCGCCGCTCGTACGGGATCACAACTCGGATGAACAGGTTTGGTTTTAGCACCAAATACACAAACGTTTCCTGTATCTATGCACTGGACTGCAAACACTGCGTTTATACTGAAACCAAAACCAATCTGATGATCCCGTTTCCTTTTTTCCCCCCTCGACAGAAGTGGGAGAAGGAAAACTGCTGCGTTTCTAAAGGTGAGTTGTTGAAATTAAGGAAAATTCAAAGGCAACTAAGCTGAGGTCGATGTCCGGAGCTGCGCTGCCGCTCGCGCAGAGCGCACACAGCACTCTCCCTCCCTGCCAGGGTCCCCAGCCGCGCACCCGACTATTATTAGCACGCTCCGAGTCTTTGTTTTTTGCAGCCTATCTGGGGGTAAGATACCGGGAACGTCAATGCAAGCTGGAGCAGCTCCAGCATTTACACCAGCAGGGCTCATCTCACAGCGGCGGTTTGAGAAGCAACTCGTGGGACCGCAGCCACAGACTTCGCTGGACCGGTGACAAGACAGAACGCTCAAACATAGCTACTACGAAGAAGCTGTTCTACTCAGAAAACGGGATGGGCTACACCGAGATGAAGGATTTAAAAAAAAAAAATATTGGTAAATGTTCTTTTAACAGTTTCATGGAATTTGCAAAATAATTACCGAACAAATTTGAATAAGAAAAACAGCCTAATTTATACCTGCAATGATGGGACACCTCAGCTGACACGGCGTCCAGGTGACGCTTTACAGCACCGGCCAAGCCCATGCCCAGCTCCAA